CAGGTGATTTTTAAGCTGATCAGTTCCCTGATCCACTTTGCTATATAACAAATTCCTTTGATAAAACTGAGGGCAAGACAAAACCAGGAAAAAGTGAAACTGGAGGAAGAAACTAGAAGGGAAGAATACATCAATCCAACATTACTACAGAATAAACAATTAAAGTCATAAAATCACTACAGAAATCACACCCCTTAGGCAGAATTAGGTACCAATACTGATGATAGGTGGCTGTGGAAAGCTGTTGTACCCTCAGAAGGTTCAGGTAGAAAATCCTCACCTGCCTTGGGCCAGCACAAACACACGCAGCTGCTCTTTCTCAACAAAGTTTAGAACATTAACATATCTCCATGAAGCCCTTTAACTGCAGTTTTATATCCCAAACTGATGCACAAGCTGTGTATCAGCACTGAGGACTGCCAGGGAGGCATTTCAGTGTTCCATGTGGGGTTTTTTTTTAATCCCTGTTTTTCATGCTAAAGAGTTTATCAAGGAAATATTTTGGAAACCTTGGAAAGGTTTTTGCCTGTTCAGTAACGAGTCGTGGGCATGTCTGACCATTTCTCAGTACAGGGATTTCTCCTCCTGTCGTGCTGCCCAAGAACAGATAAAAAGGAATTAGGGCTGATAGAACAACGTACCTGAGTAAGCCAGAAGCAAGCAACGCAAAACTCTGAGAACTACAGATCTTCCTTGAATTTTCTCTTGAAATTTCCATGGGAGGTTTTGCCAGCATGGAGCAATCCTTTGAAGCAATGGAACAAAGGTGTGAGTCACTTAAGAAGTTCTCATTTTAAACAAAAAGCTGAATTGTTTGCCCACTCTAATGGGGACAGCTATTAGGCTGAAACCATGACTCCACTGCTTCAGCACATTGGAGTCTCAGGAGACAAAATGTTCCTGCTGTTCAGGTAGACTGGGAATTACAAGAGAGCAGGAAAGCTGCCCTACAATGATTTACAGGGCCTAAAACTGCAAGCAAGGGAAGCACAGTTCTGCTAAGAAGACAAAACTGGAATGGGGAAAAAAATTTGCAGTCTTAATTTAGTTCAAAACATGGAAATAGATTAGTTTGGATTGTAACAGCTTTCTAGAGGAGACGGGCCATGGATCTTCCCTAAGAAATCAGCATTAATACTGAGCAAGTGAAGCCACAGAGCCATTGTCAAGCTGTACTTCCACATGCCTAAAATTAATAAAATACACTTGGGAAAACCAAGGAGTTTAAGGGCACCTGTGTTAAAGGGCAAAAAAAGAGAATTCACAATTGGAACATGATTATTTGGCTCAATACAATAATTATTAGGTGAAACTCTGTGGTTTCTATTATGGAAAAAGCAGATTAAAACATTACAATGAATTTATAGGGTTCAGAAAATTACCTGCAGGGAAAACAAGAGAATGAAGGGACAAAAAAAACCCCAAAAAAGCATAAAATATACTCAAGAACCATCACATTCAAGGGAACACAAACAGATAACACAGGCAGTGTTTCCACACACCCCACCAGTGGCTTCCCAAAAACAGAGCTGTGACTTCTGTCCCTCAGACTAAACAGGAAACAAGAACTGGTTTGGACTGGTGCCACATATTCACAGTAAAATGATTACTGTGAAAGCATTTTGTACCAGTTTCAAACCTCAGGGTAAGACAGAGATTGCTCATCTAATTTATTTTCTCACATATGAATGGAAACTTCATATAAGAATTTAACACCACTTACTGTGGGATTTTCACCTGGAAAAGCACATGGCACTGGTCTTTAGGAATTAGTAGGATGGTGTGCACTCTACAGCAATGAAAATGCAGCAAAATAAAATGATAGCAAGCAGAAGATTTAGCACAGGAAAATACAGAGTGACCATGAAATTCATAGAAAACATTGATATGCCATTATTTAACATTTAAATCCCCAAGCTTCCTATTTATTGCTGTTGAAATGCATAATGTGAAAATAATTTTAGCTTTTTCCTCCCCCCTAGAAATTACAGGTGGCACTTCTTAGCTTTGAAAAATTTAGCTCTGAAGCTGTCACACATCTGCTCTCTTTTTACACAAGTGTTTTACTAGAGATAGTCACACAATGTTGGTTTCCAACCTTTATTTTCATCTTTTGCATTTGAAGCTGAGCCCATGGCAGGTATTAGGGAGTTCTAGATGCTCTCCAGTCAGAAACCCTAAATACTGTGGTGTTTGAGAAACTGCCATGCTGATAATTTATACATCCATTGCTTCTAATGAGTACAGTCTACCAGCAAACCAGGATTTATTTATTCCAGATATTATGAATAATTTCCAACAACAAATCCATCTGAGAATTTTGCAGTTTACCAGCAAACAAAGGAAGTGGCAGAATTTCTCAAATTAATTTTAATGTGCTATTTATCAAAGCTTCTTGTACAATGAGGCAGAGAACAATTCTCAGTTGACAGACAGAATTAGAGTAACGATCTAAACAGATACTTTGCATCTTTTGTTTCTACAACATAGCAAGGACTGGAAATGTTCATATTTGCATTCTTCATCACCTTTACCAACACTGTGACCCAGGACATTTTATGCTACTTGATATGCTTAATTAATATGTTTAATTAATATGCTTACATGCTATTTAACACATAGCATATAATGAAATATTTACTGACATGGCAGCCCAGCACTGATCATACTTTTTGCTAATAAAGAGTGTCCTTTACAAAATTAAGGATAAATTAAACTCAAACATCTCTAAAATCTTAAAAAGACCTTATCAGAGTCTATTTTTTAGACAGAGCATTTCCTTCAACAGTCTCACCCCAAGTCCTGTTCAAAGCAAATCCATCACTGCCCACCCTCCTCTTCATCTTTCTTTTTAAGCAATAGCTGGAAATTGCCCCATCTGCTCTGAAAATCAAAGAGCAGCAGCTGGTGATCAGCCCCCTTTTAGAGCAGCTTGTGAGACTTCAGCTTATTGTCCTGAGCAACTCAGTCAAAATTAATTATAACCTAGATGGAATTAATTAGAGGCTATCTTTATTTCATCTCCATTGTCGTGCAGACAATTGTTTCGCTACTCCTCACATGACTTGGTAATTACAGTAAGATAAAACCACTTCAGATGAAACGTCCTGAATGGGTTTTGATTTAGATTTACAGGAGTGTGTTTGCAAAGCTGTTTGTTAAATACAGAGTAGATCTCCACACACACACAAAAGGTTTGTCAGCTCTTATTATTGCTCAGTTGGGGCAGCAAAACAGAAAAGTTTTTGTTAATTAAAAAATAAAATGCTAACTAAGAACAAGTTACTTCTAGCACAGAGAAATTGTGGTGGAATTCTGTCGCAAAATTCAGATTTTAGATTCAGGAAGCCTTCCCCTTGTATTTGAAGGTGTAAGAAGCTTCCTGAGATCTGCTGGATGTTACTAATAGTTCTATCTTGCACTGTGGGAGGGAGTTTCTATAGGCATTTTAATTCCAACCCAGATCAAATGGCTCTAATCAGTATTTTCTCAAGCTTTTGTCGAGGCAGGCAAGTGACGCAGATGCAGATGCTTCCCAGATGTATTTCAGCTAAAAGGAAAGAGTCTTATCAGGACTGAAAAGAAACAGTGGCAGATTTCTATTTGGTTACACTGTTCTCCATATCTCTAATCTTTGATTAGATTACAGGAATAAGATTCTCTAGTTTGATAGTATAAAACCCATCTGTGAACAGCAAAAAACCCTCAAACCTTGCATTGAAGAGAGAGGAAAACATCCATCTAGTTGTAATCTACTGAAGTAATTTTTCCCTAGAAGCATAACAAAGCTAAATTATTCTAAAATCCTAATGTCTGTTGCACATGGGCTTGGGGGAGGCTAAATGGAAGCTGACCCTCCCTGTGGACATGAGTGCCTCATGTTTCCAGGGGTAATAAATAACATATTCCCTGCTGGAAACAGCAAATGCAGTGCCTGGCACTCCTGGGAATTAGGCTAAACTGAATCTATGGCACAAAAGTGATGGTGGAGATGAGTGATTAATTCATGTGTGTGTCTGCTATGAGGAAGATCCAGAGCCCGTGGGTCATGGGTCCCCACACTATTTTTAGAGTGTGAAATCCAATGAAATTATCAGGACTTTCACATGTATAATACATGAGGAGGCAGAGAGGCTCAGATTCATTCTGCCTCTTCTTTCAAGCAGGGGTTGATGAGCGAATTCTTGCTTCATCAGTCATGTGACAACCTCAGGAGAAGGAACCAGCAAAGACAAAATGGTTCTTGATAGCAGCAAACAGTTCTAAAAGTGCTCAGCTTTCTCCTTTCTAAAACACACACACAGGAGAATGTGTTAAAGATCCACACTAAAACCATCAGGAAGGTTTTGGTACAGGTAACACTCACAGGCATTTCAGTGGGAGCCCTCCCAGTCATTCCAGAGCAATCCAGGACTTTCCTGAGGTAATTCCAGTTAAAATGAACACTCTGTATCCATCTCTGGTTCTACAGCAGTGATTTTCACATGGAGGGACAGAGCTACACCCAGCAGTAGGACTTTGGCTACTAAAATGTTGCAGTTATACAACACAAAATGTTCAGAAAATTTTAAATTGAAAAAGTACACCAACTCTCTTAGTGGTTGTTACAGACATGCAAGATTAACTAAGTGTAGCAATAAACAAAATAAGGATGCATAATTTACTTAAACCCTAATAATCCTGTGACAATCTGACTCAATTTCCAAATCATTTTTCCCATTTTTTATCCTCTGGAGAACAATTGCTGTTTACCAAGTTGCTTCCCACAAACACTGCTGTAAAATATTAAAACTCCTGTAAGCAGGAAAAGGTCATCATGAACATTATGTTCAGTGGAGCACAGAACAACTCAGTTCATCCAAATAAAATGAATTATATGCATTTATATAAAAGCTATGCCTGCCTATTATGTAATTGGTTTAATTAATAGGAATTTTAGTCTAAATCCAAACTGGACACAAAACAAAATAAAAATAAAAAAGAGATTGATTTATTTTTGTGTGTAAAATCCTAAATATTTCACACAGCATTGTTCAAAGGATCTTTCTGTGATTTCAGTCTCATTTTAATCTTAACAGCATAAGAGACTATTTACAGTTCCTCCTGCTCTAGAAGAGGATTTAAAAACCTTGTGTCCCAACCAACCACACTATAATTTCCCACATTTAATTAGAAAATAGATGAGATCAGTTTATTTGAACTGGTACTTGAAGTAAGCAATTAAGTGCTTCACTTAATAGGAGTGTGTGCTGTAAATCTGGCCTTTCATTACATGTACAGCTCCCCACACAATAGGTTTCTAGCACCAGACAGAAGCTTGCAGGCGTTGGTTTAATAAAAATACGCTATTTAGGAATATTGTGATGTATTTCCACTGCCCCTGAGGGACTTACACTAATACAGCCTATTATCTGTCCTTATTACATTGAACTAAGTATGCAATTAATTGGCAATCTGTAGTGGATTATGGAAACATTCCAGATGGATGGGGATTTATCACAGCATTTTGCTGCAGCAGATACTGTAATTTCCTAAGTTTGGGACACTGGCTTTACAAGAATTTATTTCTTTGTCCGATAGGTCTTGTGAGCAAGAATTTCCATTTCCTTTTACAGCAGAGGCAAGGGCTGGAGGTGCAGCACAAAGCACGTGTGAGATAACAGAGTATTGCTTCAACAGACTGCCTGTGCTCAGACACAATGGATGTGTGGGCTGCACCTCCCTCAAGAAATGAAAATGCAATCAATTGACTGAGTTAATATTTTGCTCTGTGGGAAAAACTCCATCAGACAGTCTGGAGCTCCGTTAATCTGTGGCACTGCATGAGCTGAGGCAGCCTGAGCAGGAGAAAGCCTTTTGTGGGTTGCCAGCCCTCCTCAGCAATTTGGGGGTGAGAGGGGTGAATGTTAACCTTTCTACCCTTGCCTTCCCCTGCCACTGGAGCTGGATAATGCAGGAAAAACTTGGGATGAGGTATGTGGAGCTGTCACAGATGGATCTGCTGCCACGGGGGCCTGTGGGAGAGCTCACCTGGGAGCTGAATCCAGACAATACCAAGAGGAGAGCAGCAGACCTCAGCAATGCATCACAGAGCAGTCACCAAAACTTATCATTCAAATAAGATGATGTTCTGCACAAACCTCATCAATGTATTATTGACAGAAAGGAAAGGTACAGAGAGTTCCTTCTGCCCTTGACTCTTCCAGCCCTTTTGAAATCAGAAGAACATGAGCTCCTGTTCTGGTGCTGCAAACAGAGGGAGAGGCCACAGGAGAAAAACTCTCTCATTTTATCACACTTTGGGGCAAATTCACACATTTCCCTTTCCACAGTGGCAATAACTATTGTTATTCACTGGACTACCTCAGTCAGTGTAGGTAAAAGGTCACCTCCAAACAGCCTTCATGGTATGTAGCAGCTCTTACTCCACGTCTCCAGACTTCTGCTTGCTCCCCTCAGCAGAAATGTCCAAGAAGTCCCTACAATGCACAGATGAGAGTTGTATTCTTGCTCGACTGAGTATCAGTTCCTAAAAGTGGACAGCTCACTGCTTTTCCTAGGCACTCAGCAAGTATCAAAATTCTTGTGAACGTTTATAAATGCTTATTTGCACAGACCAGAGCTCAACCAAGTAACCCAATCCTCATGTGAACTACATGCCCTGCTGTAGGAATTTTCACTTTAATGTAATTTAAGATATAAATCTCACTGTAAAATAAAATATTTTTTAATTCTTCCAGCTATACCTAAGCCTCCTGATTGTTCCCCTTCTCTTTGGAGCTTGCCACTCTCATTTATTTTCAGACTGGTAATTGCCCCCTTTACATTTCCATCAACAGACCCCCGCACATCCAGTGAATCTCCAGATTGCTTTTGCCATGTGTTAGGATTAATAATTAATGGAGCCAGCTGATTGTTCCAAGTGACCCATTATCATGTCGGGGCAGAGATGAACTAGAGAGAAGACAGGATTAATTTCTGAACCTCCAATTTCAGTATCAAAGTTCAAAATCAAAAGACCACCAGCAACATAAATCTATTTCTCTCAAGAGATCTTTTTTTTTTTATTTTTTTCAGAGCTGGCCAGAACAGTCCCTCTGCCTGAAAAGCAGATATTCCCATGTTCAGGGCTTTTTAAGCATAAACTATTTTTTCTCCAGTATGTGGCATTTCTCAGGGCTTTTCTGACATTTAAGTATCATCCAGCTGTTTAATGATAATCAAGAAGAGAAAAAGAATGGGAAAGGGAAATGTACATTAGCATGAAAGATGAAGGAAATGAATATGTATAGCATGCACAAAAGAATAAAAAGCTGGTATACAATGGGATGCCACAGAGCAGAGTGGGAGGGCTTTTGTTCATTAAGTGTTGATACAGTGGATTTAAATGAAATTGAAAAAAATCCAATTTAAATGCCAGGATAAAAAGCCTTGAATGATCAGGCGGGGGACAGAATGGATTTCTGTCCCTCAGAGGCCAGATCAATGCCTGACCGACAGCAGCTGCAGATGGTCGACAGCAGAAGCTGGCAAAAGTAAAATATTAAATGGTTAGATGAGGTCTGCTGATTCTTTTTAATACCATTCTTTGCTGTTCCTGTAACATAATATTTATCCCTAGTACAAAAAAAAGTACCTATCACAGGTGTCTTAACAGAGTTGGTATCTTATTAGTTTTTATCATGTCTCAAACCACCTTAGCCTCTACAAGCATAATCCTAAAACAGTACTATTCAATTCTACAAGAATAATTGATACTTCAGCAAGAAGACAGTAAATTCACCCATTGAGAAAATGCAAAGAAAAAATTAAATGACAGCTCATCAATTTATTTGAAGTTGTGAGACAAGTTTCACTGGAGATAGCACTGCACAGTTTATTACCAGCCTGCTGTGAATGTAGGGCTCCCTGCTTTGAGATTATTTAAGGATGACTAACTCATGTTACATTTGTTTCCTCTAAACTTGCTCTGGGCTATATGAAAAGCAGGAATCAATTAATTATTTGCAGGACCATTCAGACAGTGCTACAAACAAAATTTAGAATTTCAACACAACGCTTTTGTGGGGTGAAGTATGACATGAAGCTGTATCACAAGAAATGGAAAAACCCAGAAAGGTACAAATTAATTTTCCAATGGGTTATAAAACCACTGAAGCGTTATAAGTGTGACAGCAATTTAGAGATGGAAATGTTGATGTCTGAAAAGTTTAAAGAGCAAATGGAATTGCATAGGTTCCATTGTTTTCAATCGTGTCGGCTTTCTTCATCCCTCATAATTAATATTTACAGAATGCAAGACCTTTCTGAAGAGCCATCCCACAGCCTCAGGATCAGTATTTTTTCAGCAGATGACTCAGATTTTAATCCCTTGCATGTCACAGTGGGGCACAGAGAAGGAGGGTGTTTATATTGTCTGTAGCTGGCTGCACAGCTGAAATGGTGCTGCTGTGACTTCATTGTCCCCAAGGGATTCGCTGTTTCGAAGCACGGGCAGCATGTTTTAGTCATGACAGAAGGCAAAACCTGTGCGTGGTTATTTAAGGCAATCACTGAATCACTTTTGTGTTGTGCCTGGTATTGATTCACTCTTAACTGCTCTTGGCTTTCAGCAATAGTCTCACTTTACCCTGAGATGTGTCAGGGACTGCACAGTGGGGACAGCGGAGTCACAGAGTAGCCTCTAACGTAAATTACAGACAGGTTACAATAGAGTGGGTAAAACATCCTAAATGAGATACTCCTCTCTTAATGGAGAATACCTGACCTACTCTTGGATTTCTGATTCAAAAGATGGGCTGGAATCTCCAGCATTTGGATTAGACACTGGGAGCAATGCCATACTTGTTTAAAGAATGGGTAGATGATTTATCAATCAAATGAGATTATAATGCCATAATACAATGATATCTTAAACACTGTGCTAGTAATGCCTTTTATCCACATAAATTAAGAAAACTCTGCAGCAAGTAAAAGAGAGAAGTTTAATCTGAAACCTGAGTGGACAGCACGTTTGAAAGTACCTATTACCCAAAAGGATGCAGGTACATTGTGCTTCTTTTCTTCAGGGAAAAGGAACTAAGACCTCTTCAGGGATTTTCTGAGGAGTTTGCAAAATAAGCCTTTTTATCATTTTAGAAGAGCAATTACTAAACCACTTCAGCCATGGAGTACCAGCAGCTGTCTATCTTCATTTTTCCTGACAACGTTAAAAGTGCAAATTCCATTGGAAAGCTCCTCGCAGAGCAGCTGTGGATTATTTATGGCGCCTTTACTACCCGTGGTCTCAAACGCACTGTTCCACATTGAAGGAATATGCCTTACCCATGAATGATCTGTGAAACAGTCCTAGCAGCTCAGTACTGAAAACAGGATGTCTTGAGGGAAAAAATAGAGCTGGTGAGAGTGTATTTCAAATAATGAAGTGCATTCAGTGCTAATTAATCTGTAAAGTGACAATATGACCAGACTGGCTGGATCCTCTTTGTCTGGTTATTTTGTTGTGTGCCAACACAGAGCTATTCAGGGATACCAGAGCAGTTTGTTAAGCACATGACTCAGTGATATGTGACTAAAATTTCCTGGAATTACATATGCACTTGACTTTACATGCACAAAAAATCTGACTCAAACATGTGCTAGGTTAGCAGTGCCATTCTTCTCATGCATTTCTCACTCAGATTTTAAAAAACTGGCTGAAGTTTCTGGTTTCAAGTCTGCAGATTTTCCTCCAAGACAACCATTTTGTTTGCCCACTGCACCACGAATGGAAGGGGACAGCAACTCTTCCCCACTCAAGATGAAGCAAGGGGAAGAAATAGTCTCAAAAATCAGACCTGTTGTCATGGAAACCAGAACAAGGAATTTCGAGGGCAAAATGGATACATTTATAAATCAGAGATGAGGAAAATCCTACCCTTTTATAAAAATACGTTAAGTGGAAAATGTCTTTATCATAGGAAGTCAGATATTTACTAGCTCAACAAATGCTGCGGTGTAAGGCAGTTAGTGAGTAATTTGTTTTTTTTTTCTATAATACAATATGATCTCATCAGCACCAGTGGTTCATACATTTGAGAGAAAGGCAGTAGTAGCCATAGAAACAGCCTGCTCTTCCTTAGTGGCAGAAGGTATCGTGTGACACCCACTTTTGGTGGTGGCCTCACACTCTGCCAGATTTGTGGCTGCTTTTGAGTGTGAGGGGAGTTTTTGATGCACCTCAAGCCACTGGGACCAGTTTCAGTCTGTGCAGCTCCACAGCTTGGCATGGCCTCTGAGAGGAGGTACCTAAGGGAGGGAAATTCTTTCTGCAGGATGGGAATAAAAAGTGGCCTCAGGGGTGCTTGTAGAAACAATGCTGTTACTTTTCCTCTCTCTGTTGTTAGAAAGCATGTTGCTACAGCACTGCAATAAAATCAGGGCCGTTACACCATGTACTCTTCCAGTATTTGTGTGGAGAGGTGTACCAGTGAACAACAAACTTGCCTGAGGCCATAGAGGAAGACAGGGACACACCTTGGGAAAAAAAAGGGTTTTTTTCATTTTTCAATCCCAATTATTCACACAAAGCATTTCACCACTTCGCCTTCTTTTCCCCACCACCTTGAATCTCCCTCACATCAGAAAAGGCAGAGCTTGGCTTGGACTCTGATCTCCTGTGACATATTTTCTGTTTAGTGCTGGAAATTGCTGCTTTAAACTGCAACTTGAGCCCTGTCTGGGGACACACACTCTGAGTCACCTCTATCAGCAGATGATTTACAGGCAAAAAAAAAAAAGCTGTCCCAGCTCACTGTTTCTATCTCGATCTCACTGGTACCTTACTCAGTATAAAAGCACAGGTTATCCTCTGGCTTGTTTGCAATGCCTAATTAGACCCAAGCTGTAAAGAGCCAGACTGACCTTTAACAGCTCTTTGTACTGGGGAGAAGAGCTGGATTTGCAGTTTTAGACTGCTTGTTGATAATGATGGTTTCAGTCTCCTGTGATAAAGTCTACAACTTGAAAACAGAAAACACAGAGAAAGCTGCAGTGTTCTGCTCTGGAGAGCATCTGTGGGGGACACATCTGCCACACGTGTTTGATGAAGGTACTGGAGTACCCACATGTGGAATAAACACTGAGATGGAAGCAGTTTGCTGCCCTAACTTCCTCCCTCAGCTCATGGGTCCAGCAGGCAGCACAGCTGGATTGCACAGGAAGCTGCTGGATCACACAGGAGGCTGCTCCAGAACCAGGCTTTTATAGCCCAAAGTTTTGGGAAAAAAAACCAACCAGGAACTGATTAATTTGGCAATGCTGGGGTGTACAAGGACGTGACTGGATACTGTATAGAGTATATATATATATATATACATACACCCCTGGGTAAGGCATGAGGCAGGAACAGCTTCCTCTCTCACACTTTAATCCGGTGTCTCACCTTTTCCCGGATACTCTTGGAGCAGACATCCCAGCACTGAGCAGTCAACAACAACTGGGTGCTCCCACAGCCTGCACTGGTTTTGCTTTGGGCAATAACCATCCTATTGTGGGCACTGGGTTACACAGTGAAAGATAAACCAAAGGCTTTGTATGAAACACACACTCCACACCTGGAAAGAAATATGGGAAGCAGCCAAAAAGATGAGCTACAGTGGAAAATAAACTGTACTGCACAAACAGAATGGACAGAACAAATCCAGCCTAGGTGGAAGGGAAGAAGCTGTGTGGGAAAAGGAGCTGCATGTAACAAAGCAGTGCAATGCCACTTGCACAAACCCCTGAAACTGCAAGGAATTTATTTATTTACTCAATGGCTCTTGACATCACAAACCATGATCATGTTTCCATCATTTATTTTCAAAACTTAAGGGTTTTCCATACAACAGAGGACAAAACACTGGTTTCTTGTTCCATGGTGGGTGTCAATACTGCAGACTGCCAAGAAATGCAGCTGCTCTGCTGAATAAGTCTCCCCTCACAAATCTAAGATGTTTCAAGGGGTTTTCTTCCACTCTTTGGAGAAAGAGTCTGTATGCGTTAAAGAGGTGAACAAGGGTGAAAATGAGTTCAGGAATGTTACCAGAACTTTCCCATCTCATACTCAAACACGTTTTTGTTTGCCAGATGCAGTGCTCTAAAATTGTTTGATGTTTTTCACTGTGTTTCCACCTCATTGTTTCTGATGGCGGTGGCACTTCCAGGGTTTGGGGTCGGCAGACCAAACAGTCTGACCCCAAGGACACAACTGTGATAACAGCCTGTGAAGTGATCCATGCTCACAAACAGAACAAAAAGTCCGGGCCACAGTGTCATTGTGTGTAGTGCTGCCCACATTACAATTGAAATAGAAGGAATTAGGCTGTGTTCTGAGGAAATGAGACCGTCTGTTTCCATCTGGAGCAAAAGGATCCTCTGCTTTCCGTCCTGCAGTACTATATATGGAAACAGCTAAAGTTATGTATTTTCTATGGAAGACTTCCTCATTGGAAAAAATACCTTCAACAAATTCTAAAATTCCTTCATCGAAAGCAGCATGTAAATGAAAAATGAAAAAAACAAAATTAATCCGACCAAACAAACAAACAAAAAAAAAATAAAAAGAGAAGCAAATCCAAAGACTTTGATATTCAGTGAGAGACAGAATTCTGCCATTTGGCTCCTTTACTCAGTTACAGGCTTGCTGTACCCCTCTACAGTTTTCACTAAACACAGATTACAAACCTTTGCAAACAAAAGAGTTGGATAATGCAGTAAGTAATCTGGAACTGAATTCAAACTAGGCCTGGGCTAAGCAGAAAATAAACAATAGGGGCTGTGTAGGGTTTCTCAGCATCAGAGGTTGCATATTTGGTGGAGAAGGTTCTCTTCTTAAGGATTGTTTGCCTTGTTAAATGGGCTGTGTTTTACATGAATCTTAGCCCACCCCTAAGTACTTTTTCTAAATACTGTTCTGATCTCTACCCATAATCACAGAATCAGAGAGTGGTTTGGGGGTGACCTTAAACATCACCTAGGTTCCAGCCCAAATAATCAGATTCATCTGTTCACTGCACCTTTTCTCCTTTTATAGAAAAGTTGGTTACCAGCAGCCAGAGGGGTTTGTAAAGGGAAGTACAAAGACTTGCAAAACTGAGAACTTCCTTTGTACTACCTAAGGCCTCAGTTCGGGTGAGAATCAGACTTTTTTTTTACCCTTATATGGCAATTTCACAAAAACCCGAAGGCAAATCAGGTGAGAAGCTGTGAAGGTACAGCTCCTACAGCAGCCAGTTACAGGCAGAGCTGAACAACACAGATATCAAAGGGCATCAGGGGTAGTTTGGACTATACCTTTTAAAGTCAAAGGAATTTTGTGCTGAGGTCACCCTACAGATGATCAGTGGGCTGAGCCTAAAACTAGCTTCATCAAAAAACATTATTGCAGGATTTCACTGTGACTGACAAGCAGATGGCTTGTGAATCTTCATGTCTCCATCAAAACAGGAAACACAGACCCTAATGGCATTAAAAGAGGTGAAATGACCTTAGTGTTCACTAGACCCTAAAACATGGATGAGGGTCTTTTATAATTTAACTCTTTTAACTCAAACGTGACCTCTTTTGCAAAGGCCAGAGTTCTGCAATACAGCATAACTGAAATGCTGAGTAATAACTGGGAAGTGAAAAGCAGCAGACACATTTCCTCCGTGTGACTTACAGCAGTGCTTATCTACACTCCAGCCTGCAAGAGGCTTGAAACCTCATGGCTTATTTTGACCTACAGTTACAATCTTCCTTTCCCAGGAGGTGAATATACCCCCAAAATATCGTGCTGAAAAGTGCCTCTGCTGTGATATCACCATTTTTGGAGTTCTCAGATGCCTGTGGCGGGGAGGGCTGGAGTTCTGCTCATTGCATGTGTGAATGCAGCTAATTATAAGCTCTTTGGAACAGAGATCCTGTCTCTGTCTGCACAGTCTTTGGCACAGCAGGGTCCCTTTCTCAGCTGGCCTTCAATGAGAACTCAGTTTGAGGTATGAATCATATCAAAGGTGAATCAGAACGATTCTGAATCACTGACACCAGAGGGTAACAACTTTAACATATGTATACAAGACTAATGAGCTGCAAAATTTCTCTGTTCCAACTCAAGAGAGGAGAAAAAATAATTTTGAAGAAGCTAAAAGATAACTGAGGTAAAACAGGTGTGCTTGATATAAATGAACAGCTGTTTAGCTCATCATTTACATTCTATTTTGTTATCTTGAAATAATTTATTTTAACTGAAGGGGACTAACCTGAACTGAGAGACTTGAACTGAAATGAGGATTACCTGGAAATAATGTCATCTAAATTTTCTGTGGTCTTGGCAAACTAATAAAACCAAATCTACTCCATTTTATTAAAGTCAAAGGTATATAATATTTTAAATAAAATAGTTCGGGGTTTTATGGTTTTGGTTTTTTACTCTGCAGTGAAACACACGTCTAATACCAATTCACAAAATTACCCACAATTGTTTATAGAAACTTGTGGTTTTTTCCTCTTTTTTATACACCAGTATATTCCTGAATGTCCTTAAAAGGCATTTAGTGTATCCTTTCTTTCTTACTGGCAGAAACAAAGACACTTAACTAGCTCTGCTGAGTAGCTGAAAATACAGATGGGGAAGTGAGGACTCATTTAAGGAGAGCCGCGAATTGCCGCTCTTATGCACCAGGCCTCCAGCTTGACTTTTTACACCCTGGGTGCAAAAAAAGGCGTTGAAAGGGTGTTTAGCCTCTGACCTGGACATTCCCCCGCAGCAGGAGCATAATCTGTGAGATTTAGTGTGAATATCTCGTGGCTTTAAGAGCTGGTTACAGCCTAATGTCACAGGTAAGTCACAAAACGCCACCCAGGAGCAGCAAGGAAGCTCGGGGTAGATTGACGGGCAGGGCAAGCAAACCCCACAGTTCACAGTCAGCTCTGTCACAAACGGGCAAAGGATCACAAAGGATCGTACAAAAGAGGATAAATTTGAGCTAAGCCGGGCCAGGTACCTTTCAGTAGCTTTTTGACTGATTCTGAGCTCAGTAGTCGGAGAAAAAGGGTCATGAAACCATCATTTGTTTGTGAAGATGATACTGGTCAATCGGAATTAGCTGGCTGGTTGTCAGTGCAAGGTCAGTAGGACTGGAATCCCTAGTCTTGTATTTCCAGACCGAAAAGAGTTCCTACAGAAAGAGATAAAATATGAAACACAACTGATAAAACAAACAAATGTAAAAACCAAATTGCATGTGAAGCAATACGTGCACAGAAACACTAAGCTTTAAAAATAAATTAAGGAGGAAAAAATTAACTTGGGTTAACTTTTGTTAACCTTTGTTTTTCTAATTCTGCATCTTTCACTTTTCTCCTTGGGCATCAATTGGAAGTTGATTAACACTGATGGAAACCAAACACACCGTAGACTTTTCCCAGGACCTGTTCATGTAGCCCAGGGAGGGACTTCCACCAAGAGCCGAGTTTTGATCTCATGGTCATTACACAGAGTTAATAGGAAAGGGGAGAACTAATTTATTACACAAGGCTTTACTTCTCACAGTGTATAAATGGAGGAATCTAAACCCACTTGGAGCCGTGTTGAAACCCGCAGTGTGGGCTGCACAGAGAACTTCTTAAACATGCGATGCCATCGTGTGGGCAAAGCCATCTCCAGCAGTTTCCAGAGGAACGACATTGAAATCTAGAATATTTTGAGCTGTTTTGAGTTAAAATGGTCATCTCGATCCTGCTACGGGCAGGGACACCTTCCTCTAGCGCAAGTTGCGTTCGCATCATACGAACATGCCATTAATTCCTTCATTTTCACTTGCTGTGTCCTGACCTTGCTGACAGGAGTTGAGTAATCCTGTGCCTCTAGTGGTGATCGGAGAGAATCTGAAACAGCATCCACCCTTGGAATTCTGGTCAGTCTGTTTCTGAGCTGGAACAAGAAGACTATTCTACAGGTTTTTATGAAATTTTGCACCCTTGAAGGTTAAAAAAAACCCCCACAATTAAAAAGTGTGATTAAAAAGTGTAATCAAGATTTTTACACGTTCTTGAAAAAGAGCAAAACAAAAGAGCTCTGCCATGGTTAGTACAGACTTGTACTTACACTACCCCAGGGTGCTTCAAGCCCCATCCAAGCTGGTCTTGAAAACTTCCAGGAATGGGACATTAATAACTTCTCTGGGCAACAATTCTTTTTCCCCTAAATTACTTTCTTTTGTACATTTCTGCTTTCTGTTGGGAACACACTGATCAGACTATAATTAAAAGTTAAATGCCAAAGCTGCTAACCTGTTCCATGATACCTCGTTGCAATAATACTCACAACACCAGAGTTGTGGGAATTTTCCCATCTCCCCCCATCTGGAAGGAGAAGGAGGCTTCACACTGAGCTCAGGCTGCAAGAAAATCAACCAGAGCAAAGCATGGACAAAAATGGTGTCACTGCTGTGAATGTGAAGGCCTTGGTGTGCTGCAGGAATCAACATCTGTGGCTGAAAGAACAAGAATGATGCAAATGGGATGAAAAGTAGCCAACTTGAAAAAAAAAAAAGTGAGTTCTGGGATCAGAGTTTTGCAGCCACTGAGGCTATAATTTTTCTCCCAAGTATTAACATGTCTGACTGAAGGCATGGCCAGTCCCCGTGACCTTGCATTTGTCCTTAGCACATGTACAGCCTTTTTACCTCTCAGCCTCAGACCAGCCTGATTTTGCCAGTCAGGAGACAGAAGCTGAGCCTATTCATTGAGAAATTGTTGTGTTTTCCTTCCACTCCCTGTTGCCACTGAAATCTAGCAGAGTCTGAGTGTTTACCCTGAAAGTGACCTGTGTGTGTTTATTACACAAAGGGACTCTCTTGTTTCCAGCACACATCAGGGCCAGCAACACCTTCTCCCACTGACCTTTCTGGGACCTTCCCAGGACACTTTTTGGGATGCTTTTTAAAACGCTTCAGCACAGGACACCTGGCACCTCAGCCCTGACAGGAGCTGGGGTCCCAGCTACAGCTCTGAACTTTTACTCTTTTTGAAACATGTTTTAGGGCCGGGGATGCTGAGGGAAAAGGGATGCCTCAGGATGAAGGGTCTCCGCAGGAAGGTTTTCATGGAAAGCAAGATCTCCTCAGGGACAAGGGATGCCTCAGGAAGTCACCTCAGGGAGGAGGGTTCCTGGAAAATCAGGGTCTCCTCAGGGAGGACGGTTCCCTGAAAGAGTGTCTTTCTAGGGAAAAGGGTCCCCTCAGGGTGGTCAGTGCCCTCAAAAAGGAGACTTTCCTCAGGGTGGAGGGTTTCCTCAAAAAGGAGGGAATGGTCTGCTCAAAAAGGGCGGGGTTCCTCAGGGAAAAGTGTTCCCTCAGGGTGGTGAGTTCCCCCAAAAATGAGTGTTTCTTCAGGGAAAATCTCCTCGCTCCGTTAGAGAGAAGGGTCCCCTCAAGGCTGAGGAACCCCTCATGGAGGCGGCCTGCTCTCCGGAGCTCTCAGGCTGCCTCCGCACCGCCTTCCACTGCGGGCTGCGGCACCGCCCGCCCGTCCCCTCCGGATCGCGGGGGCACCCCTCAGCTCCTCGCCTTCCCGGCTTCCCTGCACCGCTTCCCTGCCTTCCTCCACTTCCTCCATCCCTCCCCGCTCTCCCTCCATCCGTTCCCTGTCTCGCTCCGCCCGTCCCTCCCCGTGGCCGAGGGCCGGCCCCGCGCTCCGCCCCG